ATAATGGGCCCAGTCAGGTTACTTTTAACACCCTTTTATTTTTACTTGTTAATACAAATTGCACCCCCATGATCTAATTAATTATTTCCTATATTTTTTGTAATTCTTATATTTTTAATCCTATTTTATTTTTATATTACTTATTGCTTTTTATAATAATTACTATTATTATTAATATTAATTTTTATTAATATTTTACATATTTATTATTATATTATTATTTAATATCATATATAAATATTATGTATTTATCATGCAAATAAATTATTTCATTTAGAACTCATGTACATATATTATTTTCTCATATATTGCATTAAATATTTTTTATCATGCATTAATCAAGATTTTCGTAATTAATACAGTTAAAAAACACAAATCAAACATCAAACTATTTTCGTGAACAAATTAAGCGAATCAACAATCTTTTTACAAATGAGTTTCAAACTGGTTTTGACTTACTACGCACTCAGGTAAAATCTCCACAATCACTACTCTCGACCGAGTGCGAAGTGATCCAAAATATATTTGCAAACCCCTAAAAAACACCAACCCATACGAACTACAAATTGAGACTCTGATTCCTTATAAGAGGATACGTAGGCACGCGATTTAAAATCGTGGCGAGTCTTGCTAATTAAAACTTAAAACCCTGTTTATCCCAAACCTAAACCTAGAGCTTAATATCCTTGTGAACAAGGTGGATGAAAGGTTCCTAACACCTTCCTTTCGTCTCATTGAGTCTGAAACCTAGAATCTCTGTGAATTAGGATTTTCTGTTAGATTCCCTTCCCTTAGGATAAAAACTAATAGTGGCGAATCTTGATTAAAAAACCAGTCGCTACAACTCTTACCTTCAAGAATTGTGACCTATATAGATCTACAAACGTCCTGTTTGAGGGCCATCTTTTTCTACTTCGTTCAGGTAGATTTCTTGGTCAAATAGATCCAAATAAAAGACTAATCTACTCTCTGCATCCATCTAATTATCATGCTTTTTATAATTTGCATTTCATTGAGATTCGAGTGAGATATTTCAAAATTTCGTGCTCGCTATTATTTCTGCATTTTCTCAATTTAAGCATTGCTCAATTTATATAAATTTGGCACGATGGTACCATTAGAATCGTCTTGAAGAGACAAATCTAATGGTATCGGCCTGGTCATCTAATTTTACAGTTTGAGGAATCCTAATCTAGGGCGTCTGGAGGTTGAAGATGACCTACGTGTCGTGCTTCAACCAATGAAAGCATGACATGTGATTTTTTGAATTCAATCTGATATGTTATCTTTACCATACGTACGCTTTGAGAGCCCTTGGATCTGATTACTTTTATTAGTCAGACTATATCCAACGCACCAGAATTTTAGTTGTTTTTAAATATTAAAAGATGATCCGGTGGAATTTCTAAAGCTGACCATGATATGCGTAACATACCTGATCCTTTAGATCTGATAACTAGTTTGCTTTAACTCTCATCCAATGGTCCACATTTTTGTAAACTTATTTTTATTTTCTGTTTTTTACACAAAATTTCAAAAAATAATAAAAAATTCATTTCTGACTTAAAAATCATGAAAAATATTCATAAAAATATTTTTAAATATTCTCTTTCTGACTTTTATTTTTTCATGATTTTATTTTTAGATTTGATATTTTTTATAATTTTTCCTTTATTTTAACTTGTTTCTAATTATTTAAAAATACTTTCTGATATTTTTTAAATTCTAAAAAATTTTATAAAAATTATTTTCCTCATTTCTGACTTTCTGAAATTTTCCTAGAATTTTATTTTGAATTCTACTATTTTTGATATATTTTTCATTTATTTGATATATTTTAATTAGTTTAAAAATGTCTTCTGTGTTAAAAAATTATCAAAAATTTTACAAAAATATTTGAGATCATCTATGATTTTTCTATGGTCTTTTAAAATTTTTATTTGATATTTTGAATATAGTTTGCTATTTCACCTTTTATTTTCATTTTAAAAAACATTTTAAAAATCATTTTCCTTTTTACTTTATTCATTAAATACAATTTATTTTTTAAATATATTTTGGCTATGTGATTGTTGATCATTTATTAACATCATTGGATCTTGGGTGTTGATTTTAACTCCACCAAAATGGATAAATGATTTTAATGATAGTTTGATTAAATTTTTGATCCAAATATTTCTCCTCCCTCTTCATCTTATCCCCTTCTCTTTTTTGTGCTACATGTTGTTAGAGGATGATCTATATATCACCACTCCAAACAGATGGCACATAGATTTCTATTGACCGCCCTTAAAATAGGTGCAATTTCTATATAAGTCCACTTACGATTTCGTAACATAATGCTAAATTTTATCCCGATTCGAGAAATGATCATTCGTGGCCCAAACCTATGTTTGCAAATCCAAGTATGTTTAATTTGAAACCTTTGATCCAATAACCTTGAGGTTCATTGTTAAGAGGCATTGGTCTTATCAATCATCTAATGAATCATCATAAATTTTAGACTAAGTGAATCATTTAAACATGGTTGATCATTTATTGTTGCCTTGAGATTTTGAAATGAATGATATACTTGACAAAAAGTAAATGAAACTCGTTGCTGAGAGGCTTTGATTTTATCAATCTTCTAATGAGTTTTTAAATGCAAGATTCAAGATGGTCATTCAACTAACCTCTAATTTATAACTCACTAACAATTGACTTTTATTTTTATGCTTTTACTTTACGCCTTTAGTTTTACGCATAATTTATTTTAGCATTTACGTTTCATGATATTTTCATTTTTGCTCACTTGAGCATTTATCTTTATGTCATTTTATTTTACTCACTTGAGCTTTTATTTTTTCTTTGAAGATACTTAATAACCAACTTGAACTATAAAAAGCTTTAAGGTTACTTGGACTATTTGGTTACTATCCTTGATATTTTGGAGTATGGACCTCTTGGACTTAGGATTAGAAACCTTGACCTACCTTAAGACCTTGTAACTTTTATTATTATTTTGTCTGGAGTTCTTGGGGTTTACCCCGAGATATTTGGTTATTTATTTTCTTTGTGTGCCAGTTATTCTGATTATATGCTTTGTCTGTGATTGGAAATTCATCTGTATACAGTCGTACCTCTGCCAAATTTTTATGAAAACTTAATGCCTTTGAGGTTTGGTATTATTAAGAGGTTTACTATCTTTGATTGTTTGGTTTCAATACAAAGGATGAGAATTCTATATTGACTCATTGTGTCAAATGTTGGCTCCTTGTTGGTTAGACGGTTCTTTTCCCAAACTTTTACCTTATGCTTTAGGATAGTCCCTTCATCTCCTCTCATCTTCTTTAATTTCAAAAGTCTTCTCCCTCCTTTTCAAAATTATTCTTGTTTTCTAAACTTGAACCGCTTTCGCAATAAATTTGGACTTAGGTCCATGCATTTTCAAAAATATTTTTTTAATTAAACTTTAATCAACTTAATAATACTTTGACATTTTTTATGAGAAGACTAAAAGTCAATCAATCTCATTCAAATCATTTTGCCATTTTGACTTTTTACTTAAACTTTTCTCAAAAGATTAGACTCTTGTCAAAACCTTAAAGTGATGCGAGCTACTATACTTCTACGATATATATTGAAGTGAGATACTTTCCACTTGGGTGTTGAGCGAGGCTTTGTTGACTTTAAAATCCAAGTCATATCCTCTACTTTGAGATGATGCAAATTCTCTTTTCTCATAATCGTGGGTAGTAAGTATGCTTTCCACTCGGACACGATGATAATGTCTCGTCTCTTAAAATTAACCAACACATTTGTATTTTAAAATTTTTAAAGGCGAACTACGAGTACCCTGATCCCCTATTGCACGGAAGATGGTACGTAGGCGCTAAAGGTCCGCAACCGCGACGGGTGTAAAAATTGTAAAATATACTTCTTTTCTCATCCCCACAATCTATTTTTTATACAACTCTTATAGTCAAAATACACAGATTTTCAAAGAGGTTCCTGCGGAGTACTATATATGTTTTGGGTGCTAATACCTTCCTTTTGTATAACAAACTCCCGAACTTAGATTCTCTCCACCTCTTTTGGGTTATTCGCTCTTTTCCCATTCTTTTGGAAACAATAAAGTGTAGTGACGATTTTTATTTGATCTGTGCGAGTCAAGTCAATTTAATAGATTAGTCTCAATATTTCTACCGCTACACTTGTCCTCAAGAAACTCATACATAACTGCAATCTTTCTCATAATTTCGTAGTTGTCAAATCATTGACAAATATTGATGATAGCAAAGTTATTAATTTCTATTCCTCGCTTGGATTCATCTTACTTAAAAAAGTTTTTCTCCGAATTTCCATATAAAATATTTATATTATAATATAACTTCTTTTTTAGTGATAATCGACCCGTTTGTTTTTTTTTTTTAAATGATTCTTATAGTGTTACATATTTTTGTGTAAATTTTTTTTTTAAAGAAACTTCTCATAGAAATTTCAAATGAAATTTTGGTTTGAATAATTATTCTTAAAATGTTATTTTAATTATTTGATCATTTAATTGAAACTTTTTTTTAGATATCAAAATATAAAAAAAAAGTGACTTAATTTCGAAGCTATTTCAAATAATTTTTCATAAAAATTATTTTTGAAATACAACTGTTTAAACAAATTGCAATTTCAACTGTATTTTAATCTTCAGTAATATATGTATATGTTATTGAATGTCAAGATTAATTTTTCAATTTAAAATAAATAAATATAAAAAATTTATTAGGGCCCATGACTCGTAGGGGTGAAAATAAAAATGAAGATGTATAGGGTAAAATTCCCCCTAACTAAGGGGCATGAATAGGGCCCATGAAAAGTCATAAGCAAAGCCCAAAAGATTCTATATTTTCCCTACAAACACATTAGAAAACAACTGAAACAGAACATTGATTTGGGGAACATTGATTCGATTAGGGTTTTTGTTATCACTTCTCTCCGTTGTCTTGTCTCGTCTCACAGTCACATCAATGGAAGCAATCACAGAAGGAGTGAACAACATCAATATCGCTGATTCTATCAAGAAGAACCGTATTCAGGTCTCCAACACCAAAAAACCACTCTTCTTCTACGTAAATCTCGCCAAGGTAATCTAATTAACGATTTGTTTTTTTTTTTCCTCGTTTTTTATATCAATTTTGAAACTTTCGAGCTTCTTTAGGCCTGTGTTGGTTTTAATTGACGCGGGTTTTGTTTAATTTTTGTTGATTTTGTTTTGTTTTTGTTTTTGCAGAGGTATATGCAACAGCATAATGAGGTTGAGCTTTCAGCATTAGGAATGGGTATCAAATCTTGAAACTAAATTCCTTTCATTAATGTTTGACAATTGTTTTTTGAATTTTTTGTTTTTAATTGGTTTGAGTTTTGAGCTATTTGTTACCCATATCACTCTATATTTAGAATTGTTCATTAATGTTGTATTCTGCTAGGGTTAATGGTATTATATGTGAAGGTAAATGTTTACTAGAGGATAAATTGGATAATAAAGGGATTTGATTAGGACTCAAAGTAAAGGGATTTGTTGCTTGATTATGTATGGTAGATTTGATTACAGTGTTTTCGAAGGCGGAAAGCAACATATTTTGTTGTATAAATACGCCGTTGTGGCTTACTAAGCGGCTATTGGCAGTCATCTATTTAGAATTATCTCTGGTGGTAGTAAAAAAACCCGTCCACGCCCTTTAACCTGGCTGCTTTGAATAGGATTCAGAGAAACTTGTTGGGTATATTCTGTTATTGTTTGTATTGGAATTTAGAATGTTTGAGAACTAAGACTGTAAGCAATAAAATTGGTCTTTGAATCTTAGTTATGAATGTAGAAGCAAGTTGAAAACTAATTTAAACCGGGCCTTAGTATCTTACTTATTTATATATTGAATCTTTTCTTGGTTATGTTTTTCCGATTTCTGATTTGTTTTTTGTTTTTTTACATTACTGTTACAGCCATTGCCACAGTGGTTACTGTTGCGGAAATTTTGAAAAACAACGGTCTTGCTGTTGAGAAGAGTGAGATAACATTTATTCTTTTTCAAATTGTTTCCCTTTCACCTTTTTCTTTCTGTTACTCATATCAAATGACATTGCTGAATCTTTATGCAGAAATCATGACTTCAACAGTTGACATTAAAGATGATTCCAGAGGTAGACCTGTCCAAAAGGCTAAGGTACGGGTGGTAATATATTTTTGGATTCTGTTTTCTGATTTTCTTTTCAAGTCTCATTTGTTATGTTAAATTGTGTTTTTAGATCGAAATATTACTTGGGAAGACTGCAAACTTTGACGAGTTGATGGCTGCTGCTGCGGCAGCTGCTGAAAACGGTGAAAATGGAGATAATGAAGAGCAATCTGCATGAAGATCATCCATACCAACTGTCTTGGGTTAAGTCATGTCGTGTTGAATGAATTGTTTGATTGTTGTTAGTAGATAGCAGAGAAACTTATAATTTGTTATAGACTCAGTTGCAATGTTGAGCTACCTAATTCCTTCATTTCTTTTTCTTATAAATAGATGTTTTTATATTTATGTTTCCACTGTTCTCTCACCAGAGGTTTCATATTTACATTCAATTGTATAAGTTTTGAAATATGATGTCGAAAATTTTGTGTTACACCTAATATGCCTGATACATTGTTTACTCTCTCTTGAACAAACTTGCTTCCAAATCCAGATGGCCCTGGATTACTCATGGGTTCCCTCAAGAAATAAAAGTTTAGAGGTTGATATGGAGTTAAAAGAGTAGTAGTAATTGCTAAGAATATTTCAGAGAGCAACTATTGTCTTTGAATGATTCGATACAAGATTTTCAAATCATCCCACAGCAAATGGGAAAAAGAGGGCAAAACTTATACCATATTAGTCATTAAATTTTAAGTTCCTAACATATTAGTCATTACCTTCTTTTAATATCAAATTGATCATTTGTGTCTACGTCTGTTTACAATATTAGCCTTCAATAAAACATCTATAGTATCAGTTTTTGTATCCTTCAAACACACAATGAAACATTGGGCTTTGTGATTTTGGAGTATATAATTCCATCTTGGGGATATCTTAGTATACCTTTTTTATCTTTTTAGGACTCTTTGACGAAATTTCTGTAATATCTCATTAATTCCGATATATATACTCTTTGATGAAATTTCCGTTCGGATATACGCATCTGAAATAATCTAGCTTTTGATATATATATATATATATATATATACATATATATATATATATATATATATATATATATAATTTTAATTTGGGATAGTTTTAAAAGAATACAATAAAATTGTTTAGAAACTTTAAAGTCTAAATAATTTATTCTAAATAAAAATTACAATTATATATCTTTTAAATTGACAGAAGTTAAGATATACACTTAAAACATTACTACGTCAAATGTCTCCTTGAAAAGTTAAAACAAATTCTTCTTCGTGTTTATTTCGTACAATTTATATAAATAACTAGAACAAATTTATAATATAACCTTTATTTTTTAACAAAGTGGAGAAATTATTCCTTAAGATATATAGTTTTTTTAATATTTTTATTTAAGTCTTTAACTTAATTTAAAACTATAATTATTTCTTTCTAAACATAGTAAAAACATGTCTGAAATAAATAAGAGCAATAAAATTGTATGTATTTAAAATAAGGTAAAAATATCATTTTTGGTTTTTTAACTTTACCTCAGATCTATTTTGGTCTCAACTTTAAAAAAATGTTAATCCTTTTCTTTTGTTCCGTTAGTCAAAGTCAAAATAAATGACCACTCGACATACACTTGGCATTGATGTAACATATGCTTATTACCGTATTAATTAAATTTCAACAATAACTCAAAAACTTTGCCTTAGACCTTAATTCGAACCTTGTAGATGTGACATATACTTATCACCATATTAATTAAAAATCAACAAAAATTCAAAAACTTTGCCTTATACCTTGATTCGAACCAAAACTTTGCCTTATACCCTGATTCAAATTCAATATTCATTAAAAGAAAAATAACATAAATTGATTTACATATTAGAATTATTTTTAGTAATAACCAAGTATTGAAAAAAAAATACACAAATAATCATGTTTCAGAGAAAATTACGCAAATAACCATATTTCAGAAAATACTACAATAGGCGTCAAGTGAGATGGCGCATCCTCTTTAGTTTTAGATGGAGACACCAAGTGAGATGACACATAGATGAAACATATTTGTCCTAAGTCATCTCATATGGCGCCTAAGTGCATTTAAGAGACCATTTTTTTGCTTTCTATTTTAAATACGAGACAATAAGTAAACAATATAACTTCATGGAATTTTGATTTTTCATTAACAAATGAACGATTACATAATGGAAAAAAACCATGCATATTATTTAGTTGTCCCCCAGAACTCGGTAACGACCCGTGGTTCTGCACCCGCTTCCTCGCCTATCTTATGGTGGGTTTCGTCAATATTCCTGTTGTGGTTGGGTCGATGGCCCAACGAAGTCAATGCGTTCAGGATCCATGAAATCGGTCAGATCACCATATCTGGAAGATCCGCTTTGGTACAGTCGGTTACCCATGCCCTCAAAGTTTGGTCGTCTTGGTGGGGGGTGAGGTTTTATGGATGGTCTATAGCACTGGTCATCTGAGTAAAGAGGGTAAAAAGGAAATGAATCCTGGAGTGTTTAGTATTGCGATTGTTGGGTGCTATGGTGATGTGGTGGTTGATGGTAAGTTGGGTCGGTTATATCATATTCTTCAAGAAAGCCTAAATTTGGGTTAAGGTAAGATGATGAGGGGCCCACACCGGGATGTGGAGAAGACTGTAATTGTGTATGGGTGTTGGCTGAAGATTTTGATAATGTTATTAGGAGCCAAATGAATTAAACGTTTTGATCGAAATGAGGTAAAGCGTCATGTTTCGAAGTAGCAGAAGCAGTGTTTCGAATAAGTATGTCAAAGCTTGGAGCTTCGAGTGGCAATTATGGGAACATATCTAAAGAAGTCTCGAAATAACAACAAGGCTGTGTCTGGGAAGAGCGTTCGAAACGGAGAAGTACCAAAGCATTTGAAATTCAAATGGAAGCGGGACTTTCGAAGTTTGAAAGTTATGTGCTGGAGCATTTGGGGACACGTGGAAAGACGAAAGAGGCATTGTCCTGCATGTTCTAAACGTGGCATAATCCTATAGCAAGACCGTTATGGTCGAATTAGTATAAATAGAAGTCTTAGTATTAGGATTTGGGGTGTCATATCTATTATACAAAATACTCAGTAACATTCAAACTACCACATGGCAAGGGAAACGAATGCAAGAGAAATGTATGTATGATAGCACCATGTATTTCTGATTTAATGAAAACCTTTTACCATTTCCAGCACTTTCCTTTATCCTTTTGTCAAATAACATTTACAAGTTTTCTCATTTACAGTCTTTTCACTTCGAAATCTCTTCTTCAAAGTTTTACATTTTAATGTTTTCTTCATATTTCAAGCACTTTATATCTCAGAAAACTGTCATATTTTCCATACCTTTACCTTCAAGTCTTATCCTTCGAACGCATATTTTTACTTAAAGTCATTTAAAGATTTCTTGCATTAAACGCTTTCTTCATATTTCAAACCTTTTACGTTCCAGAAATCCTTTATATTAACTGTTTTGTAAGTCGAAACCATTTACTTCACTTTTATGCAATTTTACGTGTCTTTACAATTAGCATTTATTCATGTAACTTAGTTTTCACAAACACATTTTGATTACATCTTTAGACTTTTAGAGAGAGAAATCGAAATAAGCCAAACACATATACAATATCAACCATGAATATCTGTTCGATCGTGAGAGTAACCTTAATATCTAAGGAGTCCTAGGATCAATCTAGTCGATCCTGTGAGTTACCAGAGGAATTGAATAACAGTCAGAAAGATTATTCGATAGTTTGGAAGACTAGCGGTTGTTTACCAGAAATCACTGGAAACAAATTGGCACACCTGATGGGACCAATAATTGGATATTAGAAATAAGGATTGTTGAGACATAACCATTACAAAAACGTTGGAACCTAAGAAGTTTGTTGTTTTATGAACCTGAGAAGTGGTAAGATAACCAACAGCAACCAACCTTTATCCAGAAGAAAACGTTTGGACAAAATGTCTAATTCAGACAATCAACAAGGGGACCAAAATGGCCCACATACAACAGGCACTAATGCGTCCACTTCGATCGGAACATCTAATGTAATCTCTTCGAATGCACAGTCTGTTGCATCTTCGACCAGTAACATAGCCACCAATGGAGTAAGTGGCATATCAACTAATAGTTCGATCTTAGGAAATACTGGAACCATTGGCTACCCTGGGGGATTCGTTCCACCATCAGGGACACAATCCCATTTCGCCACTCCATTAACTAGACCACCCGGTTTCAATGGGAATAGAACCAGAAATTCCTCTTATGGAATGCCAACATCTTTTATGGCAGGTTTACACAATTCCACATCGAATTCATCTCCATAACTAGGGTCTGGGTCTGGGGCGAATCAGTTTATGACAAATAACCAAGGGTCGGTGGGTTATAGCACAATGCCTATCTTAACCACAGACAACCAGTTGGCTTTTAGGCAATTGATGGATGACAGTAACCATAATATGATAGGGGTGTTAGCACAAACCATGCAGGAGATATTTGCCCCAATAGTGCAAAATGTGACTGTGACAAACAGAGAAAACGCTGACAATATGAGTCGAATAGCAGATTTCTTTGCTCCCCCAGAAAGGCGTAGGCAGAATCAGGCGGGATTTCGAGCAAACATGCCTGTTATAGAACAAATTGCTAACGACCCAATTTATAGACCACCCAGAAAAGAAGTTAACTTAGGGGCCAGGGCACCAAGGTTAGAAGCCCCAATAATCCCGGGCCCACAAAGGGAAATTATGGAACCAGGGGCAAGGGTCGAAAGGCTAGAAGCCCCAGAGTTTCGAGAAGAACAACCTAGGGGAGTTGTTTTGGTTGGTCGAAATCAAGATGCCGATGCTGTCGTTCATAGAATTCGAAACGATAACATCTTGGCAGAAAACAACCTAACCACCATGATAGAGAGAGTCATGGCCCAAAATGGCCTTAACACAGGAATCAGAAGGCCAAATTACGCTTCTCCTATATTGGATTGCATAATGCATACTGATCTACCAAGGGGATATAAAGTCCCTAAATTTACAAAGTTCGTTGGGGATACCAATGAGTCAACAGTCGAACACATAACGAGATATCTAACCGAAGCGGGAGATATAGCCAATAATGAAGATCTCAGGATCAAATACTTCCCAAGTTCCTTGACAAAAAACGCCTTCACATGGTTTACCACTTTGCCTCCTAGG